AAAAAAATTGAATTAAAATATTACACAAAAAAATAAGGAATTTCAAATAGTTAATTTGATACTAATATCGATATATTTTTGTCAAATTTTTATGATATTTTTAAACATATATTTTATTCAAAAATAAAAACATCATCGCTTTCTTAAAATCACATAAAACCATATTATAACATCGACTGAAATAAAAAATAAAATGAAATATTAAAATCACGATCTTTCTCGCTGCATTGCGCGAGTACGCTTCTAATATATAATTATTGATTGAGATTAACATTTGATGAAAAGTAAATTGATTCCAATTTTCAAAGTATTCACCATGCGATAGACATTGACACTCCTCAAAATTAAAAATTAAAAATTATAAATTATAAAAATAAGAATCACATATTTAATATTGTTGGAAAAATTATAAAGAAGCAAAGAAGGTAGGTTATTAAACTGTTTTCCAGAGAAGAATAACCAAAATCCAAGTGAGATGAGCCAAAAGTATGCAATATAAAATTACAGATTTGACCTTGTGATGGTTGTCCTTTGGCCAATACATTCTGACACTAATTCACAGGCTTTTTGGGAAAAAGGCAAAAATATGATGCATACAGATTCCCTCTCTTATACATATATATACATATATATATATATATATAACACTACACTACAAAACATTCTCCTTCCCTAACCAACTCATTTACTATTAATTATTATTATTTTTAATAATATTATTTATTAAATTAAAATACCCTATCTACTCACTTATATTTATTCTTTTAACTATTTTTTCAATTAAATTTTCGTTTTTAAAATTCGGTTTTTAGATAAAAAATTTGTGGAAATTCGTATAAGGATCTATATTTTCGTTAAAAAAAATTTACGTAAGGATCTCCATCAACGTAATATATTTGTGCAAACGCCGACTAAAATGAGAATTCGGTCCAAAAGTGACTAAAAATGAATTTGTTTGAGAAAATTGACTAATTTTGTCAATTTATGTATTATTAACTTCGACAATACAAAATATAAATTTTTACATTTTTATATCTAAAGACCGACAAATCAACATCAGTGTTGGGAATAATATCCAAACTCAGACACAATAAATCAAAAATAATTTTCTTATAATTATATATTTTTATTCTATCGTATTATCAAACTCGTACTTATAATTAGAACATTTAAATATTGTGGTGAGATCATTTACCAACAGAATTTTGAATAAATTAAAATTATAAGGTAAACCCACTTGCTACGGTTTTTTAAAAAGACATGAGATTTAATATTCGAGGTGTTGGTAACTCTTGGTTTTTTTATTAACAGAATATCCAATCCGTTATGCAAGCCGACTAATCCCAAGACGAACACTTGCGTTGAGGGTAGCCTAGAGTCATCGTATTGGAACCTCCATGGATACAAATGAGATTTTTATTCTTCATTTGATTTGAACCTGAGATCTTCTGTCACTTTCGATCTTTAAAGCCTAAGCTCAAACCAATCAGACATCATTCTTGTGATTTAAATAAATAGTTATCAATTATCTATAAAAGATTCTATATCTTTTATTATATTTTAACAATTATAAAATCAAAACATTTGATATTTATCATAAAAATGAATTTATATTTTATTTTTTAATATCCATCCCTAGTTACTTATACCAAAAAGAAAACAAAAACAAAAATGTACTTAAATTATACATATTTATCACATGGTTTATGCCCATTTCAAGACATCAAGACCATACTATTATGATTGCTATTGATTTTTGTTTGAATTTGAGCAAATCTTACCTCAAATTATCAAGTACATGAATTAATCCATCCACATTATTAAAAAAAGAATTTTTTTTAATACTAAAACAATAAAATATTACTGTCAAGTTATATCGTTTTATTCATTTTTTTTTTCATACAATAAAAAGCATTTGATTTTCATGAAATTTGACAAGCAATCACGGGGAATAGAAAATGACATTATAACTTGGTTGCTTTAAATAGTGAGAATTTATTTGTCAAAATCTGATATTTTTCTAGCAATCAGATACAAGAACTAACACGATTTTAATGATTCAGATGTATTACTGATCTTGTGCTAAAAAAGATCTCTTACCTTAGCATTTAGATTGACAGGAACCAAAATAAACAAATTCTTAATAAATGAATTGAGATTTTTCTCTCGAGCATTTAGTTTTCGATTAAAATAAGATTTTTTTATTAACCTAGATATCCAACCTGCTGTGCAAGCTGATTAATCACAGGACGACCACCTGCTTTGCAGATAGCCCGAAGTCATCGCATTTGAACTTCCGTGACCACAAAGAGATTTTTTATTCCTTCTTGGATTTGAACCTGACACCTCTTAGTACTTTTTACATTTGAGGCCAAGCTCAAACAAATCAAACACCACCTTTATGATTTAAAATAAGATTTTTCTTAAGATTGAGAATTGATTAGAGTCATAATCTATGGTCAAAACACATGTTTATTTTGATGGATGAAGCCTAGATTTCAATTAGACTAAAATGGTAAGAATCTTTTACTCAAATGGCTATCAAGCATATTATGTACCAGATAGTATTCTGAAGGACTGAAAATGACAATTGGATATTACCTAATGGGCATTTTGGTAATTTACTTTTTAAAGTTCAAGAGGGAAAAACAATCCAGAAATGTGAAAAAAAACAAAACAGAGAAAGATGAGAGAGAAAGAAAATGAAAGGAGTAAAAGAGGTGATAAAGAATGCTTTAAATACAGGTTGTTAAGAGTGAATCCAAAAGCAGGAAATGTTATGTACAACTGGCCTTGCCACTGACCTGTAACACATGATTTGCCCATGAAAAAAGGGGATCATCCCCTTCCAACAATGCCAACAGAAGTGAAAAAGAAAGAAGCTACAGGGGTAGTGTTGTAATTTCACAAAGTTGAAAAGAAAAACACTGTCCCTTATTACCCCCCTCTCTCTCCTAGAATCAAGAAAACACCCGTATTTCTCTCACTATGATTGAGTGAATCAGACAGATTTGTTGCAAAGTTCATCTTACCAAGAACACCAACATCCCATAAACGCCTACTATCGCCTATTTGTTGGAGAATTCCTAAGACTTCTGTTCATTTTCATTCACTAAATTATGGTGGTTGTGATGATGATCTTGGAGATCCCCTCATCTTGGTTCTCTGATGAACCATTGATGAAATGAGGGAAAGAATTTAAGCCAAGAGAGAAGATAGAAAAAGAACCCAAAAGTTGAGGTCTTTTTGCCAATTTTCTCACATACCCAGATAGAATTTCTTGCTGATCTCAACATTGCAAAGATGAGGAAACATGGATGGCAACTTCCCTACCATCCTCTTCAGGTCTGTGAAAATTTCATCCTTTTTGCTTGCCATTGTTGAGTTCTTTTAGGGTTCTGGAATTTAACTATTGGATTTGACAGGTGGTAGCTGTTTCTGTATTTTTGGCATTGGGTTTTGGTTTCTATGTGTTCTTTGCTCCATTTGTGGGGAAAAAGATGTATCAGTATATTGTGATGGGGATCTACACTCCTCTTGTAAGCTTTCTTTCATCTCTATTCTCAATTCTCAATCTTGATTTAGTTTTTAGTTTTCTTGAACTCTCTTTTGGTGCTAAATACCAGAGATCTGTCTCTTATTTTGTGTTTTTATTGTGATTTTGACTGTAAAATACTAAAATTCAACTAATATTCTTGTTGGGTTTTTTTTTGAGAATAATTTTCCTTATTTTCATTTGCATCAAGACCAGTCACATGTTAGCAATTGTTGCTTGTTTTCTGGCTATCTGTTTGGTTGTGTCCATCACCTCTCTCCCTTGATTATTTGAATCTAAAAGGTCTAATTTTGTCCCTTTTTTCTGGAGTGCTCTGTACTCCACACCACAGGTTTCCATTTCTAATAAAACAACAAGGGTGGGGTTGGGGGATTGATTTTTAAAATTTTCACAGAGAAAGAAGAACCCTTAATATGTTGATCCTAAAATTTGATTCTAGACTGATAAATGATTCAAAGTATGTAACAGATTCAAATAAAGATTTCGACTTTGAAGTCAGCCAAACTAGTTTTCGATCAAATATGCATTTCTTTGACAAAATTGAACACTCTTTTGTAGTTGTAGCATTTAGAACCAGGTTCAATGTAAGTTGCTACAAGTTTCTTGAAAAATTCTAAGTATTCATCTACTTTTTCTGTTGCCAGATTATATCTGCATTCGGCCTGTATATATGGTGCGCTGGTGCGGATCCAGCAGATCCAGGAGTTTTCAAGTCTAAAAAATATCTTAAAACACCAAACAACAAAACGGGTGGTAGAGTTAAAGAATCCAAACTTGGTGGGGAATCGACGTCATCAATACAAGATGCAAATGCTGCAAGTGTTGGAGAGAAATCTCCAATCAAGAACACAAAGAATCAAGATTCAAAAACAGAAGATAATGTGTCTGAAACCGAAAAGGACACGCCAAATTCGTCTTGTTCTATGGCCGTCTTGGCTTTGGTTCCTTGTGCTTTGATATGCCATTGCTCGAGTCCAGACGATGAATCTTCTGAACTTCAAACAAGCGAAGATGGCATGTTCTACTGTAGTTTGTGTGAAGTTGAGGTGCATTTCTTGCTATAAAACAGTTTTCAACTTCAAAAACCGATGTTGATTCTTCAATTTTACAACAGATAATGATGTTATATTTGTAAGACACATAAAAAGCAATAAACTTGATCCAAAAAGAATCAGATTTAGCATCTAAAAACATATAAATGATGGGTTTTCTGCAGGTTTTCAAATACAGCAAGCATTGTAGAGTTTGTGACAAATGCGTTGATCGATTTGATCATCATTGCAGGGTATATAAGGATTATGATTCAGTGAATACTCTTCGACTTCTTGGAAAAGACATTTGATGCATTTTTTTTTGCAGTGGCTGAATAACTGTGTAGGAAAGAAAAACTACCGAAAGTTCTTTACTCTTATGGTCTCTGCTCTTCTCCTGGTAAGGCCAACTATCTCCATTTTATCGTCTTGTTGACTTTTCAGTCTTTTTTCTCATATAGTCAGGCATTAACTTGTGTTTTTCGTTCTGCTCTTGAGAATTGTAGCTTATACTTCAGTGGTCAACCGGGATTGTGGTCTTGATCTGCTGTTTTCTTGATCATAAGAGATTCAGCTTAGATATAGCTACCAAGCTCGGAAGCAGTTTCTCGTTGGTGCCTTATGTTATAGTCGTGGTGGGTGCTTCATTCTTTTCGCTCTTATAAACTTCATTTATCATAGTTATCAAGTATTTTCTTGAAAATGTAAAGAATTCGAAGCAATCCGGAGGTCAAATGACTCCCATTTGACACTTTTAAGTCAACTGGCAATGCATCCCTTCTTTTTAGGGCAAATTGCATAAAAACAACAACGTACTTTGTTCTGATTCCTTTTATGTGCAACGTGCTTTCAAAACCTTTATTTTGGTACCTCAGATGTGATATCTCAAACGTTTAGACCCAAGCAGGACATCACACAAAAGTAAGTTGCATTTTCAGATGTAAACCCATGTACCTAAATGTATTAGATGTCACATCCGAGGTACCAAAATGAAGGTTACACAAAACAGGAATCAGATCAAAGTGCGCTACTTTTTCATGCAGTTTGTCCATTTTTGACAAAGTAAGGGAATCTTATATATACCCATATCATCGAAATTGTTCTTTTCATAACTATGATGATCGCTAAATAGGTAATTTGAACTTCAAAACTTCCCAAAAATGGCAACCATTGAAACTTTTATGGGACGAAGGATTTCTTTAACAAGATTGAACGCTAAATGTGACAGGCGGTGTGCACGATTTTGGCTATGATCGCAACGCTACCACTTGTTCAGCTTTTCTTCTTTCACATTCTTCTAATAAAGAAGGTGAGCTCCAAATCCTCCATTAGCATTCTTGAGAAAGATTATCGAATGACGATAATTACAAGATCATTATCATATAACAGGGAATCAGCACATATGATTACATCATAGCATTAAGGGAGCAAGAACAGCAAGGACTCGGTGGGCAGCAAAGTCCTCAAATGTCACCGGCAAGCTCTATCACGGGATTAAGCAGTGCGAGCTCCTTCAATACTTTCCGTCAAGGAGCTTGGTGTACGCCTCCACGTTTGTTCGTTGAAGATCAGGTATTTCCATTAACCATTTTCCGTAGAGGGAAAAATGCATCAAAATGAAACAAAGTTGGGTTTAATTCGTATTTAGTGTAATGAACCGGTTTTTTCAAAAGTCAATGTAACAACATTTCAAAATTTCCTATTTTGCACCCATGTTGACTGGTGACATGCCGATTTTGTAACATTTGATAACGTGGATATCTAGTAGACTATAAATTTGACATTCACGTCATCAAATGCCACAAGATCAAAAGTTGACTTGTCAAAATGAGTAAAAAATAGGAAATTTTGAAGCCTTGTTGCATTAAATAAGAAAGTTCGAAACTTCTTTACATTGGAAAAGAAAGATTTTTTGTTATATGAATTAGGAACTAAGGGTCTGTCTGTTAGTAGTTTAATGGGTTCACAACTTATTCAGTCAGCTATACATGACTGTTTGATAGTGGCTTAATGATATAGAATATGACTTATTCAGTAAGTTTCTAGGGGGGCTTTATACAGAAAGCATAATACTTGGGGTTCTTGCAGTATGATGTAGTTCCACCAGACACTGGTTCTGTTAGCTCACTGGGGAAGAAAACAGTAGATGAGCCCATGAAGAAAAAGAACCCCACAGCCGTTAAAATCAGCCCGTGGACTTTGGCCCGTTTGAACGCAGAGGAGGTTTCGAAAGCTGCAGCAGAAGCCCGAAAGAAGTCCAAAATCCTACAGCCTGTGTCGAGAAAAGATGCCCCACAGATGGGGCCGTATGGGCTCGAAAGAGACAGCAGCCTTGGAAGCAGTGAACGACGGTTGTTCTCACGGATCGACAATAACAATAACCGAAGGCGTGGAAGTAAGCGGGTCCGTCTTCCAGAACACGGGTTACCCTTGGAACAACCACCATCAAACCACAATATGGGAAACGATAGCGTGACAGGTGGGGATCTTTCGAGTTTGGTGCCTCTGCAGCTCGAAGCTCGTAGCGTTTTTCGACCCATGTCCGGTTCTACCGGTATCATCGGCTCCTCACCTGACAGTAGCCTAGACTCATCCGATATTCACCCGGTTAGGATCTCGTCAGGAGCGGAAGAGGCTAGGAAGCTCCCGTTTTCTGGTGCTCAGGGAGTCATGCCACTGTCTAGATCGACAAGTGATGGTTATGATGCATCCGGTGGGGAAGATAGTGATCGAGTCCCGTCTCGGCTGGTGCAACGGTCCGGAAACTGGAGTGCACGGCTGTTTGGCGCTGAACATGATGAGCGGATTGCAAGATTCAAGATGGCATCATCTTCATCATCCAGCTATCAAAACGAAAGAAAGCTGTGAATGCAATTTTTTTGATTTGTTAGGTCAGGAGGACTTTCCGGATTCTTGAACTCAGGGTTTTGTGAACCGGTAACGGGAAATCGGAAGTTATCGGTTTGCCGGAGTTCTAGAAATGACTCTCAACTGAGAAAACATTTGTTTATGTAAACAAGATTCAAGTCATTGGCCATGTTTGTGAATATATTGCTCAAATGGCAACCTTTCTAATTGGATCCTTAAAACACAAAGGCGTTTGCGTAAATGTCGTTTATCATGTATGCGGAAACAGGAGCTCTATCATCTGAGGTTCATATTAACGGTAACGGTAGTCGCCCTAAAATTAGTTGGTTTGCATAACGAGTTGGATATTCAGGTTAATAAAAAAAAAAAGATAAAGGTGAGTCCCTAAAATATAGTAGATTGTGGCTTTGACGTGAGATTATGGGCAACGCAACCTTCGTTCCAATCCATCCAGACAACTATGGAGAAAACCTAGAATGATTGCTTATCCTTCACTATTTTTTAGAAAAATGTCAGTAAAATTGTGGGTCCCCTCGATCACCCTCACTTGAACCTGAATTGGTCGAGAGAGATGAACCCGCACCACATTTTAGAACCTTCTAACTTGGAAGTAGGGTCACATTAGTTGTCTCCTGTAAGATAAAAGAATAATTGTTATGGTAAATATCGAAAATAAATGGTTTAGATATAAAGGATATATATATGGGCATGTTCAAACGAGAAGATGGTCAATTTGTGAAAATATGTGAAGAAGTGTGAGCCACATAATTTATTAATTAAAAATACCATAAATAACAAATAAAAATAATTTTGAAAATTAAGATAATTTTAAATTGGATAAATTCTTAAAAATCTTATTATATCTTTTAGATTTACTTATTTTTTAAATTTTAATTAATTAATAACTTTTTTTTATCAAATTTTATGTAAAAAAAATTAGATACACTTTTGATAAAATAATTTCATAATTTACATCAAATATCATATGTGACATCTATGATCAATTCATATGTGATCATTATAAATATTTTTATTAATCATATGTGATAGTCGTAGATATTTTTTAGCCATATGTGATTATGTATATTTACATTTTTAGATCTTTTTACGATGTAAATATTGTCACATGTGATAATACGTCACTTTGTATTCAGACGAATATTATCATATGTGATATGTACAAAAATTCACATAGTAGGTCATATATTAAACAAAGTTTATCACATGTGATTTAAAATGTGGATCCCAAAATTAGAAGAAAAATGGTGAAAAAGATTATTAATTAATTGTAGATATCACATGCAATATTTGATAAAAATTTTGATTTTTTTTTTAACAAAGTACTTCTAGAAAAAACAAGTTATATAAACTTCGTAATAATGAATTTATTGAATCTAAAAGATATAATTAGTTTTTTGAAGATTTATCCAATTTTTAAGTTGCATTTTCTAACAAATAAATGATTGGACGGTATTAGGGATGTTTAAAAAAACTGTTGGACCGTTCAAACCGGTCGAACCAAGTCAAACCGGACCTTTTTTGGAGGTTTGAACGTTTGGTGGTCAGGTCCAATCTGAAAAATAGGCAATTCGCTCGGACTAGTTTGGTCTACGGTTTGAACATTATTTTGAAGGTATGGACCGAACCGACCGCCAAATATATACATGTATTAATTAAATTTATTTTTGAGGTTGTAGGTAACTTTTATAGCCAATTAGAAAAAGTTCGTCCAACACTGAGAGACGAAAGCTATGGGAGCGAATGAGATGGGCACATGCATCCCACGTAATTCAGTCAATGAAAATAGATGGCGAGTGCCCGAGCGAATTGATCGGGTAAGATCTTTGACGCAAAAAAAGGGACTCTACTGAGACAAAGATGGGCTGTCAAGAACGTTCTATTTCTAGAATTTATTTCTTGGTGTCAAAATTAAGAAAATTGTAAAATCAAGCAAGAAATTTCCAAACAAACAATTTCAACGAAATCTTTTTGTAACAAGTAGTTTTTTGGGTTGGATGGTCATTTTTGGAGGAGAAACTATGCGTTTTCAATGGGAACTTGATGAGTCGATCCAGACCCAAAAGGCACTTCGAACAAAATAAACACGTCATCGGCATCCTGCTTTTCTATGTTTTAGAGAGATACTGATACAAGTTCTTCCCTTCTGAATCAGATAGATTCATATCTGAAAGCCATTTATGTACATTCAATGTACTCTACGGATAGAGGTCATTGATCACACATCATATGTGGATTTAGTTTTGATTTCTCCATTGACGGCGTCATCAAATATCAAAATCATAAATCTATCAAAAATCAAATCCAAAACTTCAAATCATTTTTTAAATTGCCGTCCAAAATTTCAACTATTATTGATAGATTTGTTTAATTTTTTTTTTAATCTTGAGAAAGACCTTTTTTTTTTTTTTGTAATTATGTATACTATTTTTTAACAATGTTATATTAGCATAAAATTAATTTTGGATATAAATGTTATGTTTTTTTTAGTTTAAATCTCATAAGAGAGCCCAAACCGCCTTTTTGTGGTCCGGTTTGGTTAATTGCGGCCGAACCGCTAGGTTTGAAAAAAAAATTAAATTGTCATTGCGGTTTGGTTTGTAGTTTGGGGGTTTAAACCCCCAAAACCAGACCGCAAACACCCCTAGACGATATAGTCACATAGTTTGTTAGACTTGAGATCATGTGAAGTTTTTTTTGTTGAGACCACATAAATAACACTAAACCTTTACAGTAAAATACTAATTTTTACAATGTTTTTGCTGTGAAATTTCAGTATTAGTTTGTGTCTCCCTGTTTGTTATTTATGAATTAGTTGTACAAATTAAAAACCTATATAATGAATTTTTTTTATCCTTTATGAAGTAATTTATTCATTTGGACGTTGAAAATTACAATAATCATCAATAACTAAGGGCCGTTTAACCATATAGTTAATGTTATCGGGTAATGATAAGAACCGAGATGATAAACGATGTTTACCAACAATCTTACCAGTTAAGCTTTTATCAACATTCTGTTTTGATAACCGAGAATGTTACTTGATAAAATAAGTGATAATGATGATCTTATTGATGAGCACTTATCGGATAAGCGTTTGGTAAGCAGCCCATCTCGATGGCTCGATCATCAAGCTGCGGCAACGGTGACTATGTGAGAGACTTTCTCATCATCATCGGAATGCAAGTTTAAGGAAACAGGCTTCTCAGCAATCTCAATTTCCAATTCACCATGCAAAGCCTTACAGTACATATACAACACAGTATTGGCTGCAGTGCTCACAAGCAACAACACCATCAGGAAGATTGAACCAAATATTGCTGGAAATACAAGTGGCGATCTAAGCAACCCAGTAGCCAACGCAACATCCGTGAACACGAACATGAACAACCCGCCATAAATCCCAAAATACAACAACAATGACAACGAAACTGACCTCACCCCCTTCACTAAGTACGAGCTCCGCATCAATGGCCCCAACCCCAATTTCGATTCTGTCACAGCGATCACAAAAGCCAAAGACCAATTCAAATAGAAATAGATTATGATTACCAGTAACGTCGCAGCCACGATGGCGGAAAACCACATGAAGTTAATCGAGTTGTAGTCGATTACAAACCCTAAGTTTTGAACCAACATAACCATTGATCCAACGAACAGGAGGAAGCTTAGCGAGATACAAAATAGAAGAACGTGAATTAGAATTGTTGTTGAAACGAGGGGGACAAAGGAGAAGGTTAGGGACTTGAGGGCGGTGAAGAACCTGATCGGCTTAGCGGAGAAACCATGGTATGTGCTGTAGGTGATCGTTGCTATGGCACATAGAGCGAGGACGTAGACTATTAGGATGTAGAGAAGATGAGAAACTTGAGGTTTGTGAAAGTTCGGGGGAAAATTGTTCAAGTGATCGACGGTGAAGAATTGACCGGCGAGTCGGAAGGTAGGGGTGATGATGATAGAGAAAGCGAGAGGGAGGAAGAAGAGGGATAAGCCGATGAAGTGGCTGTAGTTGGCATTGACGATCCTATTTGATTCGGAAAGGACGCCGCTTATGCTCAGGCTGTGCACCGGTGTTGTTTCCATGGAGGCGGCAGATCAGAGATCACGGTGACGATGGCGGTGGCGGAGGCGAAGGGAATTATTACAGTGCATGAATTCTGCTTAATACTATTATGTAGCAGGTATAGGTTAGGTGTAGGTCAAGTGTTTGAGTCCAATGGTAGTCTTCCACGTGGCATGTAAGGCAAGGATAAGTCGGAAACTTCGAATTGCTTAAAAGTCGTATCTCTTTGTATATTTGGACGCGTTAAAAATAGGGGAGTGTAATGTAATCGCACCCTTTGAATCATTATTAAAAAAATTAAAATGTCAAAATCAATATTTTATATATTAATATATATATCTATACTATATTATAAAGCATTTGACTAAAACTCTTAAAAACTCTTAAACTCTTAAACTCTTAAAACTCTTAAACTCTTAAACTCTTAAAAACTCTTAAACCCGTTCATCCCTATCCGATTTTATCCCATATCTGAATTCGTGTAACTAACTGCAAATAAACACAATCAAATACAGGATAAAC